ATTTCGGTAATCCGGTTTCTAGATTTTCGGTAAATAGTTTTCCGTATTTACGGTATTCTAGTAATACCTTAGCGAGTCTATTATAATTACTTATTATTAGTCCTTTTTCTGCTTAGACGATTTAGTAGATTCCTTTAATAGTATTAGTTACGTGTCGGTGGTTATGCCGTCGCTACTATCTTAAAGTCTTTCGTACTTCCTTCGTCTTAGTCCCTGACTTCTAGCGGCTATCTAAGTCTCCCTAAGGCTCCTTTATCAGTAAGTCTTTCTGCTATTTTCGACGGATATCGGGATCGGGTAAGGTTTCCTTCGTGGTCTCCTGCTTACTCTTTAATCGCCACCGGAGTTAGCTAAGCTTCTAGTCTATATCGGGATTCTATTTATTAAACTATAGTTCGCTAAGGATAACGTCCTTATAACCTATATCGTATATATCGAACTTTATTATTCTAGTCTTATTCTGGATTTTAACCTAAAAGTATATAGTCTCCTGGTTAATAATAACTTCTTCGTAGGACTAATTCTTTCCCGTATACGGAGTAACCTTATACTCCTCTTCTAGGTGTTTTCTAACCTAGGGAATAAAGAACTTTCTCATAGCTACTAGTAAGATAAAGTTTCCTGCTACGCCTATATCTAATAGTGTGTTTATCTTATATTTATTAAGTCGTATTCTAATATAATAGTGCCCTATACTACTACGTGTTATAGAGTATATCTATTAAGTGCCTCTTATATACTCCTAGCGATAGTATACTCCTAGTTTTTTGCCTGTTTAGCTCGGTGTTCGAGGGATGTTTCCTTATCTAAGAACCCGTACTGGATTAAGAGCCGTTCTATCTATCGTAGGCGCTTATCGAGGGTTTAGAAGCGTGACTCCTAAGCTCCTTAGTCTTATTCTAGTCGTCGGATTTTCTTAGAAGCGTATACTACGTAGCTAGTAGTGTTATATTTATTTAACCGGTACCCGTAGCAGTTATATCTAGGTGGTTAATCGTCCGATCCTCGTAGGCTTATTATTAGGTCGGTAAGAGTGTCTCGGTTTTCCTAAGCGCGGTAAGGTCGCTAACGTGCAGTTTACTGCTATTCCCCGCTAGTATTTATAGGTATCCTACGGTAGGCGTTATCGAAGTTAAGTTTAGTGAAATAAACTTAGTGGGTCTATCTAAGGGGTTTTTCCGTAAGCTAGTTAAGTATCCGTAGCTAGATAGTTTCCTCCTTAATTAGGTCGGCTACTTCTATAGGTTAATACTGGAAGTTCGTGTTATTATCTAGGGTCCTATCAGACTCCGTTTCCTAATCTTACTCTTCGAGTTTAGCGATTCTCCTTCGGGTACGATCTCCTTCCTTCTGGATTTCTAAGATCTGCTTCTGCCTCTTAGCTTCTTCTTTTATCTATCCGTATTTTTAAAGGATTTCTGCGATAGTTTATAAAGCTAGTTTATCCTTATCCTAGTCGGGGATCTTAAGACTATAGTCGTTATCGTACTCGTTACTAAATACTATAGCGAGTATCTTCTAGGGTCTTTTAGGGTAATACCTAGCTCCGTCTTTCCCTGATTAGTATACTAGATAATAGTTATCTAGCAGGTTACCTAATAGAGGTTAATATATAGTATTTCGTCTCTATAAATTTCCAGGTATCTAATAGCGTTAATTTCCTTCTAGGGTCTTTCTTTCTTGATCGTATTTGCTTATCGTTACGGTTATTCTTTCTTAGGCTTATAATAGTCGCGTGCGTAGTAATCTAGCCTATTATAGTTATAATACTTAACTTTCGTTATATCCCTTTTACCCTGCTTATCGCTTTATCGGTTAATGTTATCGAGCTTTATAGGTCTACTATAGTATCTATATAAGGTGTTTCTGAACTAGCGTAGGTGTGATTATTTTTTCTTCGAATTAGCCGTGTAGAACGGAACGCTTATTTAATACTTTTTCTAATAGCGTTATTTATAGTTCCGGTTATCGATACGAATTACTATTACGGTGTATTCGCTAAACGTCTTAGGTTAGTCTAATCGGTATAGTTCGTCCTTTACTTCTTCCTTAAGTCCTTAGTAGTACTAATCTATAAGGGGCTTATCCGGGTAGCTAAGCTTTAACGAGATTTACTAGAAGCTTATAGTATAGTCCGTAGCTAACTTAGTCTAATATAGCTAGCTTAGTTATTCGGCCGCGACTTATTCCTTATCGGGCTAGCCGAAGATAGCGTTAAGTCTTTTAACGAATACGTCGAAGTTCTTAAAGATTACCGTGGTCCCGGGCTTCCTTAGGATCTCTATTCCTATATTCTCTAGGTAGTCTCTGTGGATAGACTCGAACTATTCGTGCGTATCTCCCGTAAGGAGTGCCGCGGTATAGAGTACCTTAGTTTCTTCTATACGGATACTATCCTAGTAAAATAGGAGGTAGCCTCTAAGCTAAGTAATAAAGCTCTAAAGCTATCCCCGAGTCCTATCGTACTTAGGGGGTATAGGGTATCTATACTTAGCCCCGATTCCAGGATAGTTTAACTAAGCTCTTAGGGTTATATTCTCCCCCTAAAGCTAAGTGATTATATCGCGAATCTGCTAAAGGTTATTACTTCTTTTAGTAGTAGTAGTAGGCGTCGCGGTGCTTATAGCGTTCGTGGTACGGTTATTATTCGATATATTAGAAGAGTGATTACTGGCTACTTCGTCGTCTTGTTAAGGTTATTCTAGTCCTTCCTCTTCGTCGGAGGAACTGGATTCTTCAGACGATAATTCTTCTTCAGATAAAGTGACTTCTTCTTCCTTAGGCGAAGTAGCTTCTGCTTCGGGCGTACTGCTTATTAGCTATTAAGGTTAGCTTACCGAACAGGATCGATTAAAATATTACGACGGCTTCCGGTCCTTTATAGTATAGCGGATAATAGGGGACTAGCGTCGGGGTTTTAGTTTAAAATAAGAAGAGGATATTAACTAAAGAGCAGTAACTATTATTCGTAGTATCTAGTCGTAGTTATATCGTAAAGACTAGGCGTCTTCTTTATAAGGTAGAGTTAAGCGTAGACTAATAGTCTAGGTAAAGACTTAGATTAATCGATATCTTATTCTCTAGTAGAAGTAAGACCTAGGATATTCTGGTTTATATAGTGATAGTGCCTCCTTACCCGTAGTGACTATTCCTTACGTGGTCGCTATGCCTAGGTGATTCTGTTATAACCGATCACTTATTAGTTACTTCGTCGGAATAATCGACCCCGGTCCGTCCCGGACGGTATACTAAGTACCTCCGTACCTGGTAACACGTGACTTAGCACGTGACTCCCTAAGTCACCCTGTGCTGTCCCCTGTCTAGGGCCGTCCCGTGGGATATACACCAGTGTACCTATGGGGTTGGTCTATGTTAGGCGGCCGGCCGTAATACCGTCTTAATTAATTAGATCGTTACTAATGATATAGTTAGCGATAGCCTAATAAAGGTACTACCCCCGTAAAAACACAGGGCGTTTATATATCTGCTTAGTATAGAGGTCCTGCCGAAATAGGATTAAAGTAATTAACAGAGATAACGTTCTTCTATTATATTTTTAATTAAAGGAAAACGGTTAATTAGACCATTATTTTAAGTGTTTTTATACCTTTATAGACTATTATTTAGGTACTGTTTTTAATACTTTTTAAATACTTTTTGGCTTTAACACCTATAACGCCGTTAATTAATATCTAGGCCCGATTTACCCTGGATTTTAAGTATTAATTCAACGAGCAGAATAGTTAGAATTAATCCTACTATTCTTGGGGGGGGGGGGGGAAAATACCCATAGCCATCTTATCAAGGTATAATAAACCATATTATATCAGACGTGTGGAGTACCTTAGTCCTATATATCCACCCTTATTTCCTCTGCTTTTTCCGTATAGTTAGACATCCCTATAAAGTATTATAAACTTCACTTAGATAAATACACACATAATTCCGCGTACCTTATTTGTGTTCTGATAATGTACGAAGTACTTTGCATGGCAGGTTCTTAAGGTAAGGTACCTTAGATACAGTGTCTCGGTACCTTCTGCGCTAGTACCGAGGGTACCAATTAGAATGTATTTATCCATAATCGTAAGGTACCTAGGTAATTACCTGACGGACTGACTGCTCCATTTTCCCTTTCTTTTCCTTTTCCTTCTTCTCTCTTTGTTTTCTTTCTTCTTTTGCGCAAGTTCGAATCCAGGCTCAGTTCCTCAGTCCCCTCATAGTTATACGAATGGATATTAGATAATACCTGGCACGTTATTAAGTTAGGTACCTTAATGAATGAAGCAGTACGTATCCCTACTTCTATGTCACTCGGCAGAACAGATAGTGGAGTCAACGGTCCATCATGCTATGACCCCGTAGGTACTCCTTGACGTAAGCAAAACTTCCCCCATATTACTAGCCTGGAAGTAATAGTACGGTACATTAAGGTACGTAGCCATGTTCAAACGGCAGCACTACCTTAATTCCGGACCAAATAATCACAAAGTATCCGTACTAAAATAATACCTATCCGTACTAGCTATGTGACTCGTCCGTCCACTGCCGCACAGAAACCTCAGCTTGCTCACCGTCCGTCCCCCATCCATGACCACTCATGACGAGGCCTAGGCACTTTGAAAGCTGGTGCCGTTGGGGTCCGTGACATATGCCGAGTTGATCAACTACCTTACCTATACTGAACACGATTGCGGACCTATCTACAGATACCGTTTCTGCTGTTGCAACGAAGCTCTGCTCTCCCTCCACCTCTTTCAACGCGCCATTATCGTCAACCTCCCAAGCCATCACAGAAACAACCAGGGTGGCGCAACCAGCTCTTCCTTCGACTTGATCCTATATGATTCCCTCTGTCATTGCCGTCTGTTCAAGACATCTCACACATGTGCGTTGCGAACATCAAGACGACCCCCCCTTAGCCACGCTTGCTCTCTTCATCTTATACCTGCGTTAGCAAGAAACCTAGCAATCTGACCTCCAAACTAACGTTAATGCTGGATAGAGCCAGGTGCCGATCCCTAGTTGCAAGCTTGACACGTATATACGGTACTTCTCTCAACTTCCCACCACAATCCAAACTCATAATATCGCAATTCTGCCCGCAATTCCCACGCCTATTTTGGCACATTTTGAGGATTCTCTCCCAGCCCCTCCTCCTCACAACCCTCGGTCCCTTCGGTGTTACCGCTAGAGTGGATTACGCCAACTCCTCCCCTCTAGCCCCACTTTGTCGAGCTCCCTGCCTCACCTGGTTGCCATCACCTAGACCGACCAACATTTATTTGCTCCTCTTTGCCTGGTCTACAAGCGATCATGGCTACTGTACCGTTTCGAGTCCGGTCCCTCTACGAGTATTCCTCACCTCATGAGGATGACCTACAGTTCCCGCCGGGCGTGATCATAACTGTGACGGACGAGGAGGATGCTGATTGGTATGGCGGAGAATATGTCGATAATGATGGCGTCAAGCACGAGGGCATCTTTCCTCGCAACTTTGTCGAGAAATTCGAACCACAGCCACCTCCTCGTCCCACGAGAGTCCGTACGAGAAAAGAACCCGAAGTTATTGTCCCGGCCCAACAGCAACAGCAAGAACCGCAACAACAACAGCCACCCCCAGTTGCCATCCCTAATGAGCCCGAACCTGAACCTGAAGCCAACCGAGAGTCCGGGCCACATCTAGAGCGGGATTCGGCTCCAGTCGCGGAGGTGGAACATGTCGAACCTGAAAGGACTGACTATGGCAAAGTGCAAACGCAAACTCCTGGACATGCCCCGCTTACTTCGGCTGCCTCTGCCGAGTCTGTCGCCGAGCCCTTCACCACCATTACTTCTGTACCGCCTCTCACCAAGCCTGCGGCGCCGGTTCACTCGACAGTCCCGTCAGTTCCTAAGTCGGTCCCGACCCAGCTAAAACCCGCTGGACCGCCGCCTGTATCGAGTAAGCCATCGAGCAATGCATTCAGAGACCGGATTGCGGCGTTCAACAAGTCTGCCGCTGCACCCATCGCGCCCTTCAAACCCGTCGGCCTGGGTGCTGGCGCACCCGGCGATCCCGGGTTTGTGAAGAAGCCATTTGTTGCCCCGCCGCCCAGCCGTAATGCCTATGTGCCACCGCCCCAGCAGCCAGCCGCTTCCAGAGTGTACAGACGAGAGGAGGATCCCGAGATTAAGGTAAGAGAGGCTGAACAGCACGAAAGCTCCGAGAAGGTAGGGCTTGTCTCTTCTGAACAGGCCGGCGAGAACGAGCCAAAGCCTACTAGCCTCAAAGAGCGGATTGCCCTCCTTCAGAGACAGCAGTTGGAACAGGCACAGCGTCATGCCGAAGCTTTGGCGAGGAAGGAAAAGCCAAAGCGTCCAGCCAAGAAAGCCACCGATAGTCACGAGCCTATGGAAGGCGGCGAGGTCACCGATACCACCGGACTGCCCACGACCCAAGGTCAGCAGCAGCAAGCGGAACAGCATGTCGGTAAAAGTTCTTTCGAGTCGGAGAGGCGCCCGGCGCCTTCCCGGCGGAAGTCCTCCAAGGGTCCGGTAGAAGTCAATAACGACGGCAATGAGGCGGACATGTCCGGCGCTGGCGATACCACAGAAGGTCAAGACGAGGACCTTACCGAGCGGGACGACAGCGACGAGAGACCTGGTCGTATGTCTCATGTGCCCACAGGAGCAGCTCCCATTTCAGGAACGGGAAAGGAAGACGAGGGCGACAATGATGAGGTAGGCGAGGAGGACGTTGACAATGATGATGACGACGTGGACCCTGAGGTACGACGAAGAGAAGAACTCCGTGCCAGGATGGCTAAGATGAGTGGCGGCATGGGCATGATGGGAATGCATGCCATGTTTGGGGCCCCTATAGGCGGAGGTGCGGCGCCGAAGAAAAAGAAAACGGAAAAGCAGCCAGCAGAGCGCCCAGACGAGAGCACTGGATCTGTCGCCACTGTGCCCCCGGTCCCTGTTCTTGGGATGATGCCATTGCTCGGCATGGGTGGTCCGCCACGCCTAGAGGATGCCGCTGACACGGAGATATCACGATCGCCCCCTTTGTCACCGAGAGCACCCCCTCCGCCTCCAGCACGGCAAGCAAGCATCTCTGAAGATGAGGATGATGTAGTTGAAACTACAAGAAGTAAGCTTGCGTGTCCCCGCGTCTGAAGTCATGGTGATTTATGGGTCGGACTGACAGGGGTTTTAGCTCCGTTGGCTGAAGGTGCCGAACCACCTCCTATCCCAGGAGGAAGACCAGCCCCTCCCCCAATTCCTTCTGCGAGTGAGTTCTTAGCCTATTCCTGACTCTGAAGTCCCCACAGTCACTCTTGTCTAACTCAAGGCAAAAACAGCACGACCTGTACCTTTGTCTCCTCGTCCCGCCGTGGCGTCCCAGAGCGAAGGTTCGGAATCTGATGACGAGCTCGAGCTCTCGGGGGCAGTTCCCACGTCGGAGACTACCGAGTACGGAGCAAGGTCCCCGCCTCCGCCTCCGCCGACGTTTCCTGCTGCCTCTCCAACGGAGTCTGGCCGACCGCCACCTCCCGTTCCGCAATCGGGTGATGATGCTCCCCCGACACCAGCGACAGAAGGTCTCCCCCCGTCAGCGAGCAAGCGGATGAGCCGACCACCTCCACCGATCCCCGGTACCATGCCCATTGTGCCGTCAACCCAAACGCGCCCACCTCCGCCTCCGCCTCCCACTGCCGCGCCCAGCGGGCCGCTGAGCCGCCAATCCACTCAGGATATGCCAAAATCCACTGGTCCTATCTCTTCACCGACGCGGGGTGAGATGGGAGGCGATGAGGAAGAGATTACGGAATACGAGGGCGATTACGACACAGACATCGCATCTTCGATGCCGCACAAGGATGCTCGGAAGTCACATGCCAGGGAGTCTAGTTTTGAGGATATCACGCCTGTCAGGTCTCCCGCGTCCGAGGTGCCTCCGTCTTTCCCGCCGCCTATCCCGACTGGCGGTGTGCCACGTTCTGCCCCGCCTCTGGTCCCGACTCAGGCGGCCCCGGTAGACAAGAGGCGATCCGTGGAAGCCCCCCGGGCAGCACCACCTCCCCCGCCTGCGGCGCCACCAAAGGATTTACCGTCGGCGGTATCTGAAGACGACCATGAAGCCTATGGGTATGCTTTTGAAGGACCATCATTCGGGCAGCGCTCTCCCAGATTAGATGACGAATTATACGTCGGAGCTCATCAACCACTACCTTCGCCGCCGCCCATGACGCGAGCTCCCCCCCCCGCGCCGCCCACCAATCGTGGACCACCGCGTCATTCTATGGACGTGTTGCGGCCTTCCGTCCCCATTCGAGGCTCGATAGACGCGCACAGGCCGTCAACGGAATCCGGCTTCATTGCTAATGATGTAGACTTGACTCCGCAGAGCGGTTGGTGGAGACAGCCAAACCAAGTGCCTCCCACCCTCCAGGGCCGTCGCGATATCTACCACGAGTCAGAGGAAGCGACGTCGATGGTTGGCGAGTCCCAAACTGTGGTGACGCGGACTATCTACATACTGTTCCAGGACTACTCACAGACGGTTGTGACGGTGCAGTACGACCCGTACGACGCGGCAAAGGTGATTGAACTGCATCAGCGGCATGAACCTCCCCCCCGCGCTCTGCGGCAGGATCAGCTGGAGCAGTCGTACGAGCGGTTCGGGCGGGCCATCGCCAGCGCCTGTTCGTCCAAGAAAGACTCGGTGGTTGGGGACGGTACGCCCCAGGGTCTTGTTTGCGAGCTCTTGCGGCCGTTTAAGGATGCGCTGGCACCTGTGGGAACGAGAGCATACGGGGCGCTAGTGTATTCGAACCTCGCGAACGCATCGACGCAGCAGTACGACGAGATTCGGCCCGGCGACATCGTGTCCATTCGAAACGCCAAATTCCAGGGGAAGCATGGGCCCATGCACGCGAAATACAGCGCAGAAGTCGGGAAGCCAGATCACGTTGCTGTTGTGGCAGAGTGGGACGGCACCAAGCGGAAAGTTCGGGCATGGGAGCAGGGACGTGAGAACAAGAAGGTCAAGGTGGAAAGCTTCAGGCTGGACGATCTGCGGAGTGGCGAAGTCAAGGTGTGGAGGGTGATGCCTCGAAGTTGGGTTGGATGGAATACTCAGCTCTAAGGTAGCTAGCGACTCAAGCAACTCTTAAGCCGTGCCAGCTAAACGGGGGAAGGTTGAAGGTTGAAGGGGTAAGGGGTAAGGGGGAAAGGGGAAAGGGGGGTGGCCTCCACTGTGTTCATGCGCCGTCGGGTGGCCTGCTGTGGACGGTTTCAACATGATATAAACACGGGGCCAATTTGGGTCGGTCTGATAAGTACCTTATTGTTCTTGTTCCCATTGCTTGAGACTGGAAACAGGAAACGGCACAGCAGCATGTTTCGTTCATTGAGCCTGGACTCACTGACTGGACCAGTTTTGAGAATTTGCGATGGCCGCGTACTCCCCTCCCCGTATGAAGAAATATATGACACAATGCTCTCTCGTTCTAGTCTTGTCCCCCTGTTCTTCTCTCTTTTTTTATCTTTTTTTTTACTTTATTTTTTCGTCTTTTTTTCTTCTTCTCCTTCTCGTCTCCTCCTCGAGGTAACGAGTCATCAAGGACCAGGTCAGGCATGGGTATAATGATAGAGGGACTTCGTTCCGCACTTCGTTTTCGTACTTATCCGTTGGGTGACTTTGTAAGGACTTGGATGTGAGACTTTTCACATCAGTATAACCAATCAATTTGGGGGTTTTGACATATGAACCCAATCTCAGCGACGGGTCGGTCAATCGAGGCTTTCAACTAACCCCGAGTAAAACGCCCGGGGATAGGCAGGCTGCTTGAGGCTCGTCTCTAATAACAGATAACAGAGATGCGATCCAGCGAGCTCAAACTCTCAGACCTCCTCGACTCCAAGGCTTGTCGGGGGGGGAGTTCTCAGCACTGCACACTGGACATGAGCTCCGAGTCTTCTGTCCGAATCATACATAAGACGACAGACAGCACAGCAGAATCTATTCCCTAATTAGCCCGTATAAGGCATCCGCCACCGGGGAGGGTTGACGCAGGCAAGCCCAGCGTGACGCGAGGCGAACCAAGGAGAACCATAGGTTCATGGCATCGTGGGTTCTTTCAACGAATAGAAACCTGCCACACGGCCGCGGTCCAGTCTAGAAGCTCGATCGGAGACAGTTGGTGCCAAGAGGTGGATGTGACGAACGAATCATGGGGAACCTGGTCCGCGTAAGACAGGCTATCTGTAGAACAGGAGAACAACGCTCGTCCTGCATGCACATGCATGACCAACTCGTGAAGGGTTTAAAAAAAGAATAGGAAGAAAAGAGAGAGCAAGAGAGAGAACTGGAGCTGGAGGACGAGATGATATTCAAGTCAAGGCGTCTAAAAGCCATTAGCCTCGAGGCGTTACGTTGTTGGGTGGGGGTTAATCGATTACTTCGTACTTTATCCAAAGAATTCCTCCTGGTGTAGGTAAAGGTACCTACCTACCTAGGTAGTCAGGCATCAGCACACTGCCTGATATGTACGCGCTGCGTATTGTGTCGTGTCGTCCTTTCCCTGGTTCGGGTGGTGTCGGCTCCCCTTATTATACAAAGATAATGATTTCTCGGTAATTACTCCTCTCCGTACATTGCCGAGTACAACATTGCAGCTCGCTGGCAATTGCCTGGGTGGGTGTACGTACGGAGGTACATGTACCTTACTTATTACCTACCTTATACAGTCTAAGGTGAGTAGGAGTACTCCGGAGTGCCATTTTAACATCGTAGATTCGTACCTCTTGGACGTAACTGCATCCTACCACTTCCATTACAACCACCTGCCTCCAAGTCTGCCTCCCCTTCTCCTTCCTCCGTGAATGAGCAGCATGACGTGGTGATGGAATGTGTTGGGTGGATGTATTAGGACGAACAGATAGAAGCTCGCCTTTTTTTTCCTCTCCTCTTTTCCTTTTCTTTTTTTCCTTTTTGTACGTCCACCCACCCAACCAACCAAGCAGCGTGTCGTGTGTTCATGCCTTCGAGGTGCAGCAGCAACAGCAGCACCAAGCCACGGAACCGGCATGCGCTTATGCATAGATGCCATTCCATCTGGTGCTGTTCTCTTAGTATTCTTGGGGCTTGGGCTGCCCTCGGACGATGATGTTCCCACCAGAGGTCGGAACTATCGGCCAGCGCCTTCATTCGATATTGGTCTCGCTCATCCACTCGATAATCGACCGCCTTGCCCATCATCCCGCCCATCATATCATCCCACTTAACCATACATCCTTCGACCCCCTTTCCCCATTTGAGAATCAACTTACTTCTATCGTGGCCATACTCGTGCGCATCCGGTGACCCGGCGACCCAGTGATTCAAGTGGTCCAGTGAATCCATCATCTCTACCCAAGGCTCCCACCCCCCAATTCACCAGGCTTAATAGGCAAGATAGTAACCTTGAACTTGAACTCAAGGCTGGCGTGAGCCAAACTCCTTGATCTGCTCTCCCTCTTATCCAACTAAGAGAAGCTTACCACTATCGATCTTCCTCTCATATTGCTTTCTCGACGCCAAATCGGTCGAGTTCAAAGAGTGATAACCTTCGCGGTGTCATCCTCTTCGGGGGTTTTTTTTTCTTCCTATTCTTTCCTCTCCATTCTCCTGGTCCATACACCTCTTCCTCATCTCCCCTCCCTCAAACCCGTGCTTCACGCTTCGCACAATGGCAAGATCCAACAGTCCGAGACCGCATACTGGCCCCAGCCGCGACACATGCGACTCTTATGAGACGTACGTGTCCGAGAACACGGCGCCTACGTCTCTCTACGCCAGCACTCAAGCATCCGTCGAGAACCCCATGTTCCTCTCCAAATTTCAACCAGTCTACGAGGAAGACATCTCCCCCTCCACGAGCTGCTGCCCCAGGTCGTCCTCCGACACATTTGACTCGGCCATTGCCTCGGAGGAGGACCTCTCCACGGAATCCGACCTCGGTACGCACGACGAAGATCAAAAGATCCCGCCCTTGCCGATCTACTACCGGCCTGACGTCGTCCATCACGACGTCCGCCCTTCCACCCCACATGACTTCGCCCAACTCTTTCCCTCCATGGATCGGCTTTCCATACGTCATGACGATTTGACTCCCGACGGGAACATGAATCTCCGCGTCGACACCATCGTGCCGGGACGACGTCAGCTCACCATGCAGCTCTTTCACCTTCGCATGTACGACTTGACCAGGAGGGAATTCTCTCTACGGAGGTACTGCAGGGATTCGGGTCGCGAGGTGTGCCATTCCCAGCGGAAGTATCTCGATACAGTGAAGGAGAACGGCGGCCCAGTAGTCACACGACGACAGTCCATGTCCGCTGCCCTGAGGTCCATCGCCTCCAGACGCCCGCAGTCTAGCCATTCATATGACAGCCAGCACTTCTCCCCCTCCTTCTCGTCCTCCTCCTCTTCCGCCTCTTCCATCCACAGCCAGCGGAGGAGGGCCCCTCCATCCTCCACAAACACCATCAAGCTCGAGTTCGCCAACTATGCTCGGGTCGAAGTCTCCAGGCGAGGAAACAACAAGTCCAAGCGCTACGACTTCGAGTGGTGGGGACATAAATACCAGTGGAAACGTGTTGTCGACAAGAACATCGACATCGTTTCATTCCACCTCCTGCGAGACGGCAGCAGCTCTGTCCCTGTCGCCCACATCGTCCCCGAGACACGTTCCCCCAACCAAATACACATCGACGAAGCCACCGGCGGCTGGATCCCCCCTTGTCACATGTGGATTAGTGACCAGAGCATACTGGATGCGGCGACTGATGTGGCCCATGTCATCGTCGCCACAGGCCTCATCGCACTCATCGACGACTGCATCAAAAGGCGATGGCAGCCCAAGAAAGTCCATCGCATCCCCGTCCCCTTGACATCCAAAACCGTCGACTTGGAACAGATAGGCCCGAAAGCCATCATGCGCAGCCTTTTGCAGCGCCGTGCTTCTGAACCTGCACCCAGACCGAGCAGGTTCCGTCCCGTTCATCGTACCCCCCTGTACTGAAACGTATACACTTTATGCGGCTATCAACAACCTCTGTTGTGTCATGGACCCCAGGAAACTAACACCGCTTTCCTCTCTCGGGCTGCTAGGGCGAAGAAGAGTCCATACCTGTTCTCTTCAGTCGTTGCGTCCACGGATTTCCTACCTTCGATCCCCTGTGTTATATACAATTTTCTTATCTTTCTTTATTTCTTCTTCTTTCTCTTTGACCACTTTTTTTCTTTCCTCTTCTCATACTCCCTCATCTAACTTCGGGAGTCCTTGTCTTATACTATTTTTCTTTATATTATCTGTGTCATATCAGAGTCAAACATGAACCTGGTGAGCAGCCGAAGGACGAGCGAGACAAACGGGTATGTTCAATCAAAACATACATATGTGATATGAGAAGAAAATGAAGAAACAAAGGGAAAAGGACAGCAAAACAGAGTCATCATACCGATGCAGCACAGAGATCTGTGGCCGTGGGCTACCTGCTTGGATTGCCGAAAGCCCAATGTCACAAATCAAGTCGAGAAATCGCACCCAGTCCACGAAATAACAGATGATGCGGTACATAATATGCATAACATAGTTAATTCGAATGACAAGCATGCTTGACTATTCCCAGTTGACCGAACCTCAGTGTCACGAGAGGTGTGATGTAAGTCACGACACCATATCTACAGACCACCAATGCTCTTAAAGATCATCTCTCACGTGTTTTCATGATGCCTTCTAACGTTACCGCCCTCGTCTTGCGCCAAAGAAGAAGCCACACGGGTGATCATGGGTCCCGTAGCGGCCAGAGAAATAGGCGGCTCAGTCCCCCCAAACGTCGGAATAAATCATGCATGGAAAATCGCGTTCCTTGTCATCACCACCCAGTTGGTCTTGGGTGCCCCAGAAATTCAACTGCAACATACTTGAGCCTCTGATATTTTTGATCACCCCGCCGGCAACGTTCAGTAAGTCTCGTTGCCCAGTCCGATGGCTTCTGCGCCTGATCCGGTAAACCATCCTCCAAACTCCAGCTTCATCAGCAGCCTTTCCACGCCGCCGGCCCTCTCTGGAATATATTGTCCCTGCGCATCATAGACGCCGTCCTCACCTGGGTCTGCAGATGCCACATTCCTTGAAACACGATCAATATCATCGGCAAACCCAGTATCGGCCTCCATCGTCCTCAGCGCAGCGATGGCCTCCTCCACGCCTCCCTTCACTTTCCTCTCCACCTCTTGTAGGGCAGCTTTGACGTCAGCCTCCTCGTTCTCCAGGTCGATAAAGGCGTCCACCACGCCCGCGTCGGCTTCCAGGTCCATCGACGTCCAGATCCCCTGGAGACGCTGAACCAGGGCGACGAGGTGGTCGATGTTGACGAGGAGGCCGAAGAGCGAGTCGGTCCACGGAGTCGAGGTGAGGAGAAGGCGATGGGAGAGAACTGCGAGGTAGCAGGCGTGTGCTGTTGCGAGGCTCTGGGGGTCATGATGGCGCCGGCAGGCCGGGGTCGGAACGGCGGGGTGTTCCCCCCTGCTTCTGGCAGAGATGCGGAGTGCCGAAGTGGACTGGGCTAGCCAAACGTCCTCGGTTCCATTGTCGCATGTACCCTCGAGTGGTGCGGTCGTCGTCACCTTCGGAACAGCTTCCGACGACGGTGGTCTTGGTCGGACCCTCTCTTCGTGCGCAGTCATCCAAGCGTGAAAACCGTCCCAGAGGACCGCGACGACCTCGGTCTGCAGATACGACTCCGTCTCGGCGAGGAAGAACAGGGCCGCGTTCGCCGTCACCCACGTGCTGCGCATGACGTTGGATCGTACCCTGAAGCGATCCCGAAGAAGCCGGACCTTGGCCTTCCCACTGCGCGTGCTACCGGCGGGTGGGCCCGGAGGCGCCGGGTGATGTTTTCGAAGCGATGTGATCTTCCATAGGTCTGTGAGATGAATGTGTGCTCGGCGGATAGAGAGAAGATAGGGGTTGGCGATGGAGTAGGTTTGCAGGTCCGAAGGGCTGAGGAACATATCTAGCGGTGAGGGGATCTCCATGGTCAAAACCACGGGTACGGAAAAGAGGAGATTTCGGAAAGGCGTCGTAGCCAGCGTTCGGGGGATCTGTTGCGAAGGACCGTAGCCGAGGCTCAGAGGGGCATCTGGCTTCGACTTGGTCAGCTGCAAGTGCAGCAGCTCCCGGGCCAGCTCAAGATCCTGGTCCTCGTCCGCGTGCTGTCCTTGCATCAAGCCCATGGAGGCCCACGTTTTGGCTAGCACGGCCATGACCTCGCCTTCTTTGACGGCGAATGCCCCCAGACCCTCGCGCTTCTCGTAGGCGAGGTTATCTGCTCGCTTCCACCGGCTACGAAGCTTTGCGTCTGCTTGCTGGGTCAGGGCCATTGCGAACTCCCCCCTCCCCAAGAGGAAGAAGTCGCGAAGAAATCGTAGGGTGTCGATGACTCTTGAGAGCGGCAGCAGCTTCTGCAGCGTGCTTCTTGACAGGCCAATCCGTATAGTGGTAATGGCTCTAGATAGGCTGGCGGGTTCAAGGGGATACGTCAGGGCGGATAGCTCTTTGAGGTGTGGGGAGAGGTTGTCGAGTCCCTGCAGGCCAGATTCGGTGCTGCTCTTCTCACGCACGTAGTTAAGAGACCTCCCGATGAACAGCATGGAAGATGCAGCGGACTCGCTGACGAAAGTTGGGAGCAGGGTAGGTTCAATGACATAACCCTAGAAGAATCAGATTCAGCGACATCGATCTTGGCCAACCCCAAAACACCCCAAAAGACACGGCGGAAAGAGCGGCATACCTCAACGGCGTCTTTCGCCTTCTGGATGAAGAAATCTTCTCCCCCAAAGCTCGGCAGTCGCCCGTATAGGATCCAGGCCGACACTTGTTTCAACCATGCCGCCTCCGCAGCGGATATGAGGCTCAAGGCAGTTTGTTCAATGTCCAGATAGCCCGTCTGCAGTTCAGTCCGAAGCCTATCAATAAGCTGCGCGCCGCGACAGCCATTGCCTTTGTTCCCGGTGAGGATGAACTGGACAATCCCCCACAGCCACTCCATACGCCTTGTCCAACCGGAGAACTCGCTTACGACGGCCGTGAGGGGCACGATGTTGTAGGCGCCGACAAGGTCCGGGTCCCTGCGCAGGATACCCTCCTCCACCTCGCGGACTTTGCGGCGGAAGGCAGTGAGATGTACGGACTTGATTGCGGTCGCGGTGGCGCGGCAGATTGTCGACGCATGGCCGACCGATACTATCTGGGCGACATGGCTTTGGAGCTTGATGTGCAAGTCGCTCAGGTGAGCCACTGAGGCGAGGAGTTCTCGTTCGGACGGGGAAACGAGGGGGAAGGCATCAGATGGGTTGTCGGTACGGAGGAGCGGCGAGGGGTTCCCGGATAAAGAGAGTAGGATCTCGTGCAGCATAGCAGATGGTATGATCGTCTACAAGTCGGAACGGCTCAAGGATCTGGTGGGGGAAGCTGGTGGTTAGTACGGAGTCTGCTCGGTAGCTAGGGAAGGAAGCAAGTATTTGGGCAGGGAGTTCGGTGTGCTTACCGAACGAACCATTCATGCGGCGGAAGCTTTCCGCCTTTGGATTCGTTTGGATTTGAGGTATGCCGCTATGTCATGAATGATGAGAATGAGACTGCCCAGGATCTCAAGGCGGCACATAGGGAACTTGTTGTAGGACACTGTAGGGGAAATGGGGGAGAGGTAGAGAGGTAAGGTTTGGCGGCGAGTAAGAGAACCAGAGCGATCAAAGAGCCCCGGGAGTTCTCACCAACGGGACGGCTGTAGTCGAATTGACATGTTGGTTTCTCCGTACTTTGGTGATTGCAGGGGAGGGTTTGGATGTCTTTGGTGAAGTTGCTAGCGGTATACGGTCAGCGATCAGGCTGTACAACCGCTGTAATTAGTAAGGTAGGTACCGTTGGAGTTACCTAAGGTAACGTACCTACACCACGTTACCTTAGGTACCTAATTACTTTGTACGGCACCCAGGAGTACCATCAATTTCCTCTCGGTTTAATCAACAACAAGCGCTTGAATACATCGTGATGCCGCTGCTATGCCTATCTGATGACCTTGAAAATTCCAGGGCAGGTCAATTAAGATTCGACTAGGACCAGTCCTCGTTCATAATGTATAATGTATTTCCACTCTGGGCGCATATATATTTCTGTGCAACTTCTCCGTATTTGGACCACGATTGAGGTCATAGGCGCTTTGCTGCTTCAATCCAATTAAAGAAGGGCCAAGAAAAGGGGGGGGGGAAACAAGGAACAGAAAAGACAGCTGCCCGAATGCATCACAACACATTTCTTGTCAGCTTCTGCTCATCTATTCACGTATATCCCAATGCCCGAAATTCAAAGCTGAGATTGGAACCCGTCCAGGTCAGACTCTAAGCCACTGTGGTAGGAATTAGGGAGCGGCACCGGCACCGGCACGGTTTCGGTTCTGTCCGTTCCCGACTCCTCCTTGTCCTTGTGCCGTGATGATACTCGCCGTGCCGCTCTTGCTGCTGCTGTCCCTATACTCCAAAAGAGGCTGGGGTACGGACCCTCCATCGCCGCCCCCGACGATGATGCGGCCTCCACCGTTGGCGACCTTGCCCACAACCATGCCCTTGGCAACGCTCTTGAGCACGGCCCGCCTGGAAACGCCGGTGACGTCGATGTAGACGAGCCCCACGTTCTTGAAACCGCCCCCGAGATTCCGAGATGCCTGGCCAGCCTCGGGGCCCCACCGGTGCTCTACCATCTGGGTGATGCTCGACGTGGTGCCGCCCAGAAGGTTCTTCCCCGCGAGCTCGATGCCGTCGACGACCGTGTTGAATGCCATCAGGCTCCTGTTGAGCAGACCGGGCTTGTACGACTCGATGGGGTTGCCGTCCTCGTCGTAACCACTCCCGGCCCCGGTTTTCTTCCCCGCCAAAGACGCACCGACGTTCTGCGCAACTCGACTGATCTGGCCGACGGTGGTTGCCGACATGTCGGCGGCCTTGCTGGAGAAACGGTTGATGCGGCGGATGTGCTCGTGTGTGGCGGGGTTGAAGGTCACGGGCTTCGCCACCGGCGTGGTGTTGTGAGCGAACGCCTCGGCTCCGCTTTGTAGTCCCTTGGCGATGATGTCGGACGAGGTGACGATGAGCCTCGACGCTCGGGATGCGCTGCTCACGAGAGAGGATTTTTTGTACGCCGGGTGCATGGCCATATCCATGTACTCCTGAGACGCTGGCTGTACTGTGACGGCCTGGGTGCTGTCGGCGGGCAAGGCGATTTCGACCGGCTCTGGGAGAGACAACCGGGTTAGTGATGATCCAACAATAACTGATAAGTTGAAGTAGGTGAGGGTAGGGGGAAATCGCGAGGAGGAGGAGGAGGAGGAGGGGGAGGTTAGGAAATTGGTACCTTTGGAGCCAGGCTTAATGCTGCTATCATCCAGCTGATATCCATCGGTCAGCTCGCCAATGACGCTGCCATCTTCCTCATCGACCAGAACTATCTTGCCGCCCTTGTTCGAGCTGTGGCTGCCCTGGGCATAGCCCTCTCCCGGTTGGAAGGCTGCCGGATTGTAGGCCGGAAGCTTTTCTGACTTGGCGGAGGATTTGGCGGCGGATTTGGCGGACGATGTGGCGGACGATGCGGCCTGAAGGGTCGGCGCAGGTACGGCACTGGACTTGTGGGGTGCGGGCGTGCGTTCGAGAAAAGCGGTGCATTGGGCGAGTATGGTCTCGAAGGTGTCAACGTCTTCTTGCAGGCCTTTCCTGCTGCCGGCCCTGGGGAACTCGATGCGAGTAAAGGCGCCGCTGTCGGGACCCAGATCCCATCTCGGGATGAGGTAGCTGGATGGCGGTTGGTGGTAGATCTGCGTAGTGGCTGGCAAAGGAAGGTCGAGCTCCGGCGGCAAATGCAGGTGCAGATAGAAGTCCTCTGCGGGGGTGCCGAGGCCAGAGATGTCGGCGAAAGGTGACGAGACCGGCACCATCAGAAGAGACAGCGTCTGGGGACCAGCAGGGTTTAGAGGCACTTCTTGGCCGTTGCTGATATGATACGCTTGAACGCCATCGATGGCATAGAGCAGCTTGGGATCCTAACACGTATTCTTTTGTGAGCCACCAACGCAGCAAAGCAGACCAATCGAGAAGCGCATGAACGAGAAGCCGGGATCAGACTGCCAGTCTGTTGCGTTGTGCATTGCGGGGGGAGGGGAAGCCGTACATTTTGTCCCGAAGCCATGTTGAAGTAAGAGGACTGGGTAGGGAATGACGGAGATTCTGCGCGAGATTCTGCGCGACTCTTTTGAGGGTCGCCAGGCCAGGTATCAAGTGCGGGAATGCGGAGAAGGTTCGTCTTGACAGTTGTTGGGAGACGGGTTTGTTAAGAGGAGAGTTGTTATAAGCACGAATATACTCGGTGCGTAAATATCTGTTATGGTGCTAATTATAGTGACCGCCGTATTGCTAAGACGGTAAAGGAAGGGAGAAAGAAGGGTGGTTTGGTTAATGGGCGAGAATTCGAATATTCGCAAGATCAGGGAACAAGTATGGGATTGGTTTAATTAACTTTGTACGGATACTTAGAGGCCCGTCATAAACGTCACATGGAGAAATGTGACAAGCGAAAGGGGGGCGGTGCTCTGAGAAGAAGCTCGTCTTCGTTTAGAAAGCGCTTAAGCTCCAACTCGCCAAACTCTCACCATAGGAGGGGCGCCAATGACGTCGGATTGTGGCCACGCTCCTTACGCGCTTTCCCCTCCTTTTTATGTAGCTCCTGTCAGGGGTGTCGCGAGTAATGTCGCGATTACACTGGTCGTTGAAACAGACTCCTACTGTACCTAAGGTACCTTAGGTAAGGCAGGGAGGTAGTGTGAGAGCATAGGTAGGTAGGTAGGTGCGTACCTATCTCCCCGTACAAGTACCTCCGTACTGACCAAGGGAAGGGAAGGAAAAAAAAAAAGAAGGAAAAGAAAAAGGAATAAGAAAGAAAGGGAAGGGAACAACGCAAAGAAAAGGGGAAAAAAGAAATCCGAACTTGTTAGAGTCTTAAATCCGAAGCCTATGTCCGATCCACTGCAAATCGGGGCCCGGAGCCGGGGGTAGAATATGCCGGCACAAAGCACGTACATCGTGCTTCGGAATTAATAATGTACAGATAAACTCCCCGATCCGTTTCATCTTCAGAGGTTAACATGAAGTACGGACGTTGTATCCTTATATAAGAACGGGAAGGAGTATATTCGGCCTACCTACCTTAATGTCTGCCGAATCTCGTCAGGATCCCCTTTAACGTACCGTCTTATGATATTCGATTCTTTCTCTTACTAGTCTTCGAGGTGGCTTTCTAAACCGAACATTATCGGGCCGAGAAACCTCCAGTGGCCACACGATACACTACCTTACCTATACACCCGTCGGCGAACTCCATCAACCGACAGACACACTTTCCTTTCTCTCTCACTCACGCGACCACCACTCGCCCACATTCGCACGCACCTTTTCTCAATCTCCTCTCTCTAGCATCCATCAGATATCAGATATCTCACATCTCATCTTGAGTATCTCCAGCAAGGACACGTTCATAAACGCACCAACCGAATTCCCCAATTACTACGCATCATCCTCACCACCCCACGACGCGTCAACAACCTCAGTGACCCTGGTCCAATTGAATGAAACCGGCCCTTTTTCTGTATCGTTCACGGCCCGCGCCCGGGCCAAACCGCCACCATTTCCTCCGACTGGTTCAAGTCAGTCCTCTCTCCCAAATCGGGCCCTGATGACACACTGTCTCTGCCCTCCGCCCGGACCACGCCCAAGACGCCCTTTGCCGAAGTCTCCACGCCAGACCTAGGCTCGGGCCCCCCGGCTGCCCCGAGGCCCCGTCCCTTCTGGCCCCCTGGCACGCCCCGATCCGAGGGAGCAGAGTCCCATGTCGTCGTAGCCCCGGTGACGTCCGAGGACCATGAGCAGAGGACAGTGGCTGGGTTCCCGGCCACGAAGAAATCCTCGAGAGACATGGAGGGCCCTACCCGGATACGGTCTAGCATAGCCTGCTTGCGATGCCGAAGGTCGAAGATCAAGTGCGACAACACCGGGCATTTGGATGCCGCCTGCGAGAACTGTATCAAGTCCGGCCACAAGTGCGAGTGGCCCGATCCGTCGCCGCTTCCCCCCAAGAGATCCGACCCCCCCACCAATCTCAGGCAGGACAAAGAATCCGGCCACGAAAGGAAGCGGTTCAAGAAGATCGTGGACACCTCCGTCCAGGACAGCCGGCGTTATGCCGAGGATATCCTGTCGGCGCCCTTCCTCGACAGGGACGTTTGGGACCAAATCTTTTCCACTTACAAGCGTCACTTTGCCACCGAGCTCCCTTTCCTTCACATCCCGACACTAAAAGACAAGATCTTCCAGTCCGATAAAGACCGGACCGCGTCGTCCACTTCCCCCGAGCTCAACCTGGTTCTCCTCGGGCTCTTGGCCCTCACGGCACGGTATCACCACGACCTCGTCAAGTACGTCGACCACATGTCGTCCCATCAGTCGCAAGACAGGTCGACGCCTTCGGTCCCCGCGTCGCAGGACAAGACTGTGGGTTCCAAGTCCCGTGCCGGCCGGATCAGGTCAGAGGCGGCCGCCGCCTCCGAGTTCTTCGCCAACGCCCTCGACAAGGCGCTCGGCTCTCTCAAGACCGCCATGACCAAGGCCACCGTGGAACGGGTGCAAGCCCTCCTCATGCTTGGCCTCTACGAATGGATCTCCAGGAACCACGACGGCCTGGGATCTTGGATGTACGTCGGCATGGCCGTCCGAATGGCGCAGGCCCTCAAGCTCGGCTTCGGCGACAGGCAGCCTCTCGTGGACAAACCGCCCCCCGTTATGACGGAAGACATGATCATTGACCGGGAAGTGAGGAGGCGCACCATGTTCAGCTGCTTCATCCTCGATCGCCTCTTGTCCTGCGGCATAGAACGCGTCTCGCTGATCCGCTCCGAGGACCTGCAGATCCAGTTGCCGTGTACCGAGGAAGACTTCGACCTGACCCGCCAGGTGTACACGGGTTTCCTCAAGACGTCCGACAACGATTGCGCGGATCCCCGACCGGTGGTCGAGAACAGCCCGAATGCCCTCGCTCTTTTCGTGCAGTTGGTCGATATCTGGGGCGACATCTCCCGGTACAGCTATTCCGGGGGCCGGTTTTCCGAGGCCAAGGGCATCACCCCGTGCGACGAAAGAGCCCGCTTCGCCCGTTTGCGACGGCAGCTCGACTGCTTCGGCGAGAGGCTCCAAAACCCAAAGGTGTTCATGAACTTTACACTTTCTCGGTCCAACTATTTCAAGCACGACAATCGCCAGGGCGCCTCTACCTACGTCTCGCTCCACATGCTGCTTTCCCTGTGCAAGATCATGCTGCTTCGCGAGTACATTCCCTTCATCCCCATCAAGTGTGCTAAGCCGAGCGGGCCGTTGGATCCTCCCACTTTCACGCCCGGGGAGGTCCCGCCCGTGTTCTGGGAGGAGACGGCGAAAGAACTGTTCCGCGCGGGGAGGGACATCGTCGACCTGATCGAAATCTGCGGGGACAAGCTGCCGCATTCCTCGCTCGTCGTGTTCGCCATCTGGCAGGCGGCCTTCATTGGCATTTACGCTCGGCACTTTCCCCACATGGACATGGACAACTCCCTGGTCAGCGAAGAGGAAATCCGGGATCGCGCTCTGGGAGGGCACACGGACGCCACGGCGACAGGGACAGGGACAGGGACAGGGACAGGGACAGGGACAGCAAGTGGCACCAAAGTGACGTTCGACGCACTTGGTAAACTGGCGCAACACTCGAACCTGGCCGCTGTATACGTGGCCAAATTTAGAGAAGCCGAGGAATTCTTTGCCAAAGTGGTAGCGGACTACCATCGGAATGTTGGAAGACAAAAAATCGCCAGGGGTCAAGATGGGGGAGGACAGAGGTTAAGCATCCGCATGGGCGGAGATACGGGCGGGATCGAGGAGTGGGTGAAGAGACAAGAAGGGATCACGAACAACGCATCCATTATAGAGGAGGAGCGACAACGCAGTTACGCCGATGGTTACGATGGGCCACAGGGACCACATGGACCACATGGAGCTCACGGACCTCACGGATCTCATGGAACTCGCACGAACCATGCAGACAGTGCTTCTTCCATCGCCCCCGAACGTGTGGGAACGTCTTCCCGGTCGCAACTCTCCTCCTTTTCGGCCATCAACGGCCCCCGGACCCAACCGACGCCGAATCCCGATGCCCACCATTTCCCGGGCATGAGGGAAGAAGCGAGATGCCATCAGCACGTCCACTACGGTCCCGTGTCCCAACAGCTCACCGGATCCGACAGTCCCGCGGCAGACAGCACGATCATGGTCCCCGACACCACGATCGGTTCGGATTTGAAAGTCATGGAAGACGTGGAAGGCAAGCGGTTCGGGACTTCATACGTCGATATTCCGGATTTCATAGGATTTGGCGATTTTGGGATACTGCCGAGTCTGTGGCCGATGGAGCCGGGGATGGGTGCCGTGGACGACGACGGAACCAAGCTCGTCTTTGACCACATCCCGGCAGCAGAGGGGATGGCAGCATCATCCGAACTTGGCTGCTGATTTGTATGACAACTTAGCCTCAGAACACGTCTAGTTTCGACGGATATTGCGACTTTTTTTTTCTGGTCTCCCGAGGAACTGAGACATGTGTTCGGATCTACAAGAGACGTCTTGCATAAATGAAGAATGGGCTTCGCTTCTGATGAGGCATTCGCACAACTTCAACTGCCACATCGAGATCTTTGTTTTTTTTCCACCTTCCTTTCTTTCTTTTCCCCCCTCTTCCCCTCCCAGCATTCCATCTTGTTCAGCTTATTCTTCGAGTGCTAGGGCTTGGAGACAGAGAATACGCCGAGTCATGGATCGACCGTTGACGAAAGCCAATATCTAGGGCGGACCGTCAGATTGCCCGCGCAAAATGGTCACCAACTTGGGATCCTAGTCTCTCTCCTTGTGATTTGCATTCTCGATGCACCCACCGGTGACATCAGTGCCCCGACCCGTGGTCAACGGTGACCTCGGCGAATTTTCGCCATGAGGTTTTGCATGCTTGATAGCCAGACATTGAGTCAGGCAGCCTTATCTGGACCGGATTGCAATGTAAACTGAACGAAAGTGATCTAAGAGGCGGCATCGCGGATGCTACGGGAGTCAGAAAATCTCCGGTCTTTGATCCGACTTCATCCGATTATCGCCGTCGAGTCAAGGCGCAGTATTTGCGGTCAGCTGCTTCTCCCGAGTTCGCCGGTGTGTTGTTGGCAGCTTCAACGGACGACGCGATGACGCGACGATGGGGGACGAGTGGTCGACTCGACCATTTTGCAACCTCGGAGCCGGCAACTTCTTGAGCTTCTTGCTACTTAATTACAGTCTACGGATAGACGGGCTAAACGGGTAGCCCAGTGGCCGCCACCACCGGCCGGGCGGTACAACGACGTAAGACGCAACGCATCGCTAATTTGGTCCCAGGTTTAAATGAAGGCTAAACTGCCTTTCAGAGGATTTGGGCTTGTGGCGAGAGTTTACGCCGTCTTGCTGTTCCTAACCGGCTTTCCTTCCCCCCCTAAACGGAGAAAGCGTAGCAATGACTAGGAGGCCGTTACAGTTGGATTCTTAGCTTGTCTTGCCTACAGGCTCGCAGACAGGCACAGCCAACCATGACCGAGACGCCGGGCTCCTTGGTGCACACTCACAAGCCCAGGACGCTAGAGTTACCCTTCTTCGTGCCGTTCGCGGCTTTGGAGTTTAAAGCCAGGCTCCCCAGACATGTGAATGGTTCGAGGTTGAATCCTGATATTAGTTATCGTGACCCTTGTCCAAATCCTTCGAATGGCAAATGGCCTTGCTGATTTTAGACGAGAGATTCATGTCTATCAAATATCTTTGTAGACAGGATTGGTTGGACAGGCGACGAGTCAGTCCTATCGCATGAACAGACATGCCTCGCTGTTGGCGTGTTGCGACGCTTATCGACGAGCTCTATAAGATAAGACTGACTGGTTGAAGATTGACTGCAAAAAGGCATTGCCTCGCCTTGAGGTTGAAAGCTTTGAGGGAAGACCCGGAAGAAGTGTCTTTTCCGCTCACAGAGGCTGGGTTTACTCTGTTGTTCTTCCCCTGTGACACCACACCATGGCATTGCGCGTCTTCCTCCCTTTCGTTGCCTTGCTGGCCGATACACTCGCTGGCGTGACGCCCGTCCGAACCTACTCCGAAGGCCCCAGCTTTGACGAGAGGCCTCAAGATACTCTTCCTCCTCCTCCTCCTTTTCCTCTTCGGCCTGCAGGAGGTATTCGACCTCGGAGCCATCCCGCTCCAGAACGAGTCGGCAAGGGAACATTCGAGCAGCTGGTGGACCACGACAATCCATCCGGGTCGACTTTTCAACAGCGCTACTGGTTTAACGATGACTACTGGGGAGGTCCGGGGTCTCCCGTTTTCCTGCTCAACGCCGGGGAGATGGACGCTGGTCAGGGGCTTGGGTGGCTTGGCAACGATACCCTTCCCGGGATGTACGCGCAGATATTCAACGGGGCGCTGATTCTCTTCGAACGTATGATAACCCCCCCTGACATGAACAATGAATTACTCTCGCCTTCCGGGAATCCCCGGGACGATCCGAGCCCTCTGACAAACATGACAGACCGATATTTCGGCGAATCCCTGCCCCGCGACGAATTCACCGCGGAGACCCTCCAGCATCTCGACGTCCGTCAGTCCATCACGGACCAGACCCGGTTCGCCCAGCATGTGAAGCTGGAATTCGATCCCGACGGCAAGTCAAACGCGGACCAGTCCCCGTGGGTACTCATGGGCGGCAGCTACCCGGGGGCGCTGGCCGCCTGGACGTCGAGGATCGAGCCGGGCGTGTTCGCAGCCTACCACGCGAGCTCTGCGGTCGTGGAGGCCATCCACGACTTCTGGACATACTACGCGGTCACCGAGGCGGCGCTGCCTCCCAACTGCTCGGCCGACGTACGCCGGGTGGTTAGCCACCTCGACCGCATATTCGACGAGGGATCGGAGCGAGACATTCGGGAACTCAAAGAACAGTTCGGCCTCGGGAGCCTCGACCAAACGGGTGACTTCGTGGCCTACCTGGCGCAGCCGCTGGGGCAGTGGCAGGTGGATCCCGGTTCGGTGTTCAAGTTCTGCGACCGTCTCGAGGCACCCGCCATCAACGGGACGGTAGTCCCCTCGGACGACCAGGCCGGCGTGGGCTTGGAGGCGGCCCTTCCGGGGTATGCGACCTGGATCAAGGAACATTACGGGGAACGGTGCTCCAACGGGTCGTGCAGCACGTTCGGGCATCCCGAGAAGTTCAACCGGCCACACGACCTCGGCGCGGACCGGGCGTGGTTCTGGCTGTTGTGCAACGAACCTTTCTATTGGTGGCAAGTAGGGCCCCCTGTGTCGGACGGGAAGAACGTCGTGTCGGGGTTGCTGCGGCCGCAATACTTCCAGCGCATGTGCGACCTTTACTTCCCCGAGGTGGGCGGGTTTGCGCCGGCCAGCGCCAAGGGTCACACGACGGAGGATATCAACCGGTACACTGGCGGCTGGGACGCCGAGTTCGACAAGGTGCTGTTCTGCAACGGCGAGAATGACCCGTGGATCTCGGCGACGCTCAGCTCGCGGTTCCGGCCGGGCGGGCCCAGAGAGTCGACGGACCAGACGCCCGTGCTGGTTATGAAAGGGGGGAACCATGTGCCGGACTTCGATCTGCGCATGGAGGACGGCGAATTCATGGACTTCGTGGACAAGGAAGTGAAGATTATAGGACAATGGCTGAAGGATTGGAAGCCGAATTCGCAAACCGCTATGTATGAGGCGTAGACATTGGGAAATTCCTTAGCAGCACCAAGGGGCCCTCTGCCCTCTCCTTTGTCGCTATGAAGAAAGAAGCAAATTTTTTTTTTTAAGCATCTCGTCTCTGGTCAACCATCGTCGTCCGGGTCCCCCAAGCCGGGAATTCGGGGAGGGTTGGTCATAAGAGGACACGGAGGTTCGGGCCATCTCAATGTACCTGAGGTGAAAAACCGGGAATACGGTATACCATACGATGCTGATGTGGAAGGACCGACCAGGCATAGGGTAAGGTAGAAACGGCTACTGCAGGTATCTTTGCGGGGAACCCGCGTACTAATGACGTTGTTCATGGATCATGGGAGGGTCCGAAAAGAAATAGAGGGAAACCCCCCTTATCAAGTACCTTGAGGTAAGGAGCTTCCACCATCTACCGGTGCTTACAGCTTGAATGGAATCGACATGTGCACTACTCTCACATTCCTATATTGACATATCGTACAGTTCTGAGAAAATGAAGTTTTGTCTCGATCCGACGTCTTATGCAGCGACCTCGTTGCCTTCCCTGGAGGAATGGGCGGCTCTCTGGAAGGCGTGGAATATCATCGCCAGGGGCATGATCCCAAATGAGGAACTCCACGAGAAGCCCATCAAGTTGCGAAATGCCTGTATCTTCTATCTGGGTCACATACCCACTTTCTTAGACATCCAGCTGTCCAAGACAACCGGACAGCCACCCACTGAACCGGCTTATTATCATTCCATCTTCGAGAGGGGTGTTGACCCAGACGTCGACAACCCGGAGCAATGCCATGCGCACTCTGAGATCCCCGATGAATGGCCTCCGGTTTCTGAGATTACAGAATACCAGCAACGTGTCCGGCCTCGACTCCAGGGGCTGTACAAGGACGGCCAAGATAGTGTCCCAAGAGACGTAGCCCGTGCTATATGGGTGGGCTTCGAGCACGAGGTTATGCATATGGAGACCCTGCTCTACATGATGCTGCAGAGCGACAGGACACTGCCGCCTCCTCACATTAACTACTTAGAGAGGTATAGTTATAGAGCCTATCCTCTAACCGCTAACTACTAATAAGGCCGTAAGTTTAACGCTAAGTTAGCCGAAAGAGTATATGTCGGCTATTTAATCGGTTATAAGAGCACTAATATATACCGAATTTAGGTGCTAAAATTAGGGAGGATTCTGCGCACGAGAGATATTACCTTTAACGAAAAACTGTTATATAAAGATCGCGATATAGAGCCGCCGGTTACCGAAGAGGTCTTCGAGTAATTAAATCTGCTAGTGGATTATTAACTCCACGATTCTCTCGCTATTACTATTAACGTTGCCGATCTTCTGCTTTAACAGCTGCTAGAGCAGAATACCACGAGGGAGGCTATAGCGGAGGCTGCTACTGCTGCTATTGCTGGTGCTTCTAGGGGGGTGGATAGAGGTGCAGGTTTAATAACTACTACAGAATCTGCAGAAGAATAATAATAGTAGGAATAGCAGGAGGCACCTAATTAAGAGGCACGTGGAATAGGGTAAAGAAGCCTTATAACGCCTTCCACGCCTCCGGCGGCATCTACGGCACCTACTTTAACGTCTTCTATAATTGCACCTATAATTGTGTCTTTAACGGCACCTGTGTTCCCTCCTTTAATAACTATAAACGGCCCTCCTATTTAAGATCTTTCTAAAAGGATCTTTCTCTATCCAGGCGGATTATAGTAATCTTTAGGCTATATTATCGCTACAGGAAAAACTTAAAGTTCGCTATTATGTAGAGTGCTGATTTAGCGTTACGCAGGAGTCTAATAACGACCTAGCACGTGTATTATCAGATACTACCACAAACTTATCGAGGTGTAACTTGCGCTATTTATGTACTCGGATGGAGTACTTCCGACCGATGTATCTATATCGATTTCCCCTCCTTTTACCTTATAGTTAGATATTTCCGTAGAGTATCTTTTACTCTTCTTAAATGCATATATATATCTTTTACGTACCTTATTTATATGCTGATAGTTATAAGCCCGGCGTTCTAATAAACGAAGCTATTCCGGAAGATCCTGTAGCTTAGAAGACGATTAATAGCTTTAAGTCTATAGCGGGTAATTTAGTTCTATTAGCTAAGTCCGCCTGCTTTTTTTTAATTAAACGATTAAGTAATTAATCGCTTAATCGCTCTATTTAATCCTTCCTTATTTAATCGCTTAAACGCCTATTCTCTCGTAGTCGGTTCTGATAGTTTATTTTCCTATAGTCCTAGTTAGTTAGACGATAGCCTTAGTTACGGTGATACCTATAATAGGCTATACGATCCTCACCTCACTAAAAGAATAGCGTTAGTGGATCGAGGCTATTATACAGATAGCCTACGCTAACCAGGTATCTAACCTTATTGATCTAAACCTTAAGGAATCTAAATATCCTCAAAGACTCGAATCCTCGGAACCTCTAAAGCTAACGGAAGAAGATAATAATACCTGGGATGGTAAGTTTAAGCTATAGAACGTAAAAGAAAATAGATATTAGTAATAGTAACGAGGTCTAGCTACTCTTTACGACTATATCGCGAAGATAGTTAATCCTAACGTTAAAGATTAGTATATAGGGAAGAAGGAGGTTAAAGATATTCTAATCGCCTTAAAGGACTATCTTAAACCTACTAACGCGGCCTAGAAGTCACTAATTAAACGATAATAGAAGGAATATATATAAAATATACGCAGGATACCCTATAAGCGTTAGCTTTAGGACTTTATATCGCTATACCAAGATTCGAAGACCTATAGCGTTAGATCCTCTAATAGTAAAGAGTACTAGCTTAATACGTTCTTTAGGGCTATGGGTATTATAGCTCCGGAGTGGTTAGAACCGTGCTTTACAGAGATTTTAAGGGAAGATAAGGAAGACTAACCTACTATTATAGAGGTTATAAATGAATATACGGTTTGGTTACGCTATAGGTATCCTTATAGGCTTAATAAGAAGCCTATAGCGTTATCGTTTTATACGGCAATATTCCTAGGAAAGGATCAAGATAGTAGATAGTAGCCTACTAGTTAGGGAGGTTAGTAGTAATAAGGAAAGGAGGCTTTTTCTTTAATAATCGTAACGTAGGAATAGATCTGCAATTACGTTAAGATAGGAAGGAACGCTCGCTACTACGCTCCGTGGCAGAACTGCCCGAACGTTAACTCTACGCGGCGCTAGGAGGGCTTTACGCCCTTAAAGGAGGTAGTGGAACGCTACGACCGTATTATTAAGTCCTAGGATAAAGGTCGCTAAAAGAGATTCCGGGAGGATATTAGAAAGAACATCGATAAGGCGAAAAATCAGGTAAAAGCTAAGTTATAAGAGAAGAATTAGTCTAAGGAAGTATCTAATTTTACTGCCGAATAGTCTAAGGATTCTAATAATAGGGCTTACGATATATATTTTGCCTCTTATTTTATAGGTGAAGAGGTGGTATTAAATACCTCTTTAACTAAGGGTTTACTTTAATGCCTGCGGTAGTAGCTAGAGTAATAGAACTCCACGATAAAGGCTTTATAAGAGAAAAGGCGTTATTAATAGTGTTAATAATAACCTTAGTCGTCGATATCTAGGGGGGTAATAGATAGTGGAAGATTAGAAACCACCGAAAACGCCTCTAAAAACTAATAGGTTACTAACTAAGAGGTATTACGTGGAACGGCTACCACGGCCGCGGTAGGCACGGTGCCTGCCGTTGTGCCTGCCGTTAATTTACCCTTTTTAATTATTGATTTTACCTCTTTAATAACGGCACTAATTTTCCCCTCTTTAATAACCTCTTCTTCTTTAAAAATAACGCCCGTTTTTACACCTTTAACGCTACTATAGGCGCCTAACGATCCTCCTACGCCTACCGCTATAAGAAGTACCTCGGAGTAAATTAACAATACTAGCGAAGCCTCTAATAAGGCTATAGGCGAGGCTATAAGCGATACTACTACTCCTTAATCTATTAATCCACACGTAGCTAAGTTAAATACTGTTGATATTATTATTATTACTAATAATATCCTTGATATCCTTCGAGTATATCCTTTATACTCGAACAAAGGATATCTTCCCTGCAAGCCTAGACCGTTCTCTTTCGAGTCAGTTCATCTGATACGAGTCAGACAAAGGATATAAAGAATTACGATATTACTACGATATCGATCTTTATTATAATACTATTACGATATCGATCCTTTTATAAAGAATAAAGAATATTAACCCGTTCCCTCGGTTCGGTTCTTTGCTTTCTTTTCTTTATTCTTTATTCGAAATCCTTTATCTTAATCACTTTTTCGATCCGAAGAAGACATAATACGCGCGCAGAGATCCTACCTTATAATCCTATTATTACCTTCTTATTTTTCCACCACTTTTCGTGACTGTCGTCCCTTCCGCTCATCCGATATCGTCAAAGATCTTTAAAAGGTTATAAGCCCGGAAAAGCTCGACTAAAGTCTCGAAACAACGTATTCCTTAATTACCTACGGTCGTTAGCCAAAAAGAGAATCCCCCGATTCCAAATAATAGTCCCTATTCCTATCCGATATTCCTTTTTATATACTACCTACCTACCTACCGACCTACCTACCTACCACCCTATATATCTATATACCTATATCTACGATCCTACGGTTTAATCGGTTAGTCGGCTGTGTCGTACGCTTATAAATCTAAAAAATTTACAGAAAAACTATAAAAGCCTACGATTACGTAAATTAAACGGGTGCACTATTCTTTACGTACGGATATAATAACGACATACTATAAGGGCTATTCTAGTTATTGATACTGGGATATCTTCGTTACTTATAAGTCTTTAGTTTTACCTAAGATTTTCCCTATATATTTTCCGACCGTGGAATCCTATATAAATATCGTGTTTTCTACACGACCGTTAATCCCCTCGCTCCGCGAAGACCTATTTTAGGATCCTCGCGAATAAAGGAATTTAACCGAGCCTACTTTAGATCCGCCGGAATAAAGGAATACTATCTTTAGAAATAAAGGAATTCTGTTATCCGCACGTACAGGTATCGTTTTCTTTATCTATAAAGCTGTTTTTTCCTCTTTTAGAATAAAGGACTATATACCGGTTCTACTTTAGACCCGTATAAATAAAGGTATCACTATAATAACTACGTCTATACTTAGAATAAAGAAAATAATAAAGAAAAGAACTATTTTCCTTATTTATAGTATAACTTCGTTAGTTCTTATCTAAAATAAATAGAATAAATACCGTTTAGGAGCTCTTAAGATACCCGCGCAGGCTAAACTTAAGGAAATTAACGTAAAGAAGCTAAAGAGTAGTCAGGACTACTAAACCTAGACGATAGCTATACGTACTTACTTTATATATAAGGGAAAGCTTCTAAAAGAGCTTATAAAACCCCTGCCTAAAGATATCTCTAATAAGGTAAAAGAAGAAGATTTAAAGACTACTAAAAATCTACTCTCCGCTCTATAAGACGGGCCCCTAATATAGGTTTAGGACGTTAATTTTACCTTAGAAATCTAGGAAAAGCTAAAATCCCTATACGAGAAAAAAGGGTTTTAAGTAAACTAGGATATCCTTACGTCGTTTTTTAACCTAGATATCTTAGAATTCCCCACGCTTAAGGAGTTTCTATATAAAGTCTAAGAAAGGTTAATTATTCTTTGAGGAAGGGATATTATTCTACCTAATAAGGTGGTTTTTACCTAGACTCTAAACCGCCTCGATAGGCGTTATAATATAATCACCTCGTAGATTATATAGGCTTTTCGGTATAATATTAATAGCTATACGTTCGATAAAATCGTTACTAAACTAATAGATACGTCGAGGAAAGTCGACTCTTCTACCTTAAAGGCCCTGCTTATAAAAGCATAGACAAATCAGAAACATTAGACGAAATAGTCGAATAGAGGCTACTAGCAGAAGAACCTGTTTTATAGTAACTATAAAAGATCTAGGTATCTACCGACGAACTATTTCTTTTTACACCCTAAAAAAGCCCTTATAGGCTAAGTAGTTAAGGGAAATTCAGGATCGAGGAAAAATACCTAAAATCGGGTAAACAAAAATAAAAAGCCACCAAAGACTAAGACGGCACCGTCGAAGCTATCGTTATAAGAGACTAAAATACTTAATTTCTTCCGCTAGTGCGAGTAATAGAAGCTCCTAGGGAAAATAAGTAACGACGAAACTATTAATTTAGTTTCTGATTTACCACCTACGGAGGAGCCT